AAATGTGTTCTTAATTTGCATTAAATTTTGTAAACTTTTTCTTTGATTTTCTCCAAGAAATATTCATTAGTTTGAGAAGTAATATCAAACACTTGCGAGAGTTCTTCGTCCAATTTCCAAACACCTCAAAGTCAGTTAAAAAAACTCGGCTGCGCCTCGTTTTTTCAACTCACTTTTCGGTGTTTGCAAATCGGAGGAAGAACTCTCTTGCGTGTTTGAAATATTACATAACATCAAGACCAAGTGAAAACAACCAACAACTTGATAAAATATTTATAATGATTAATAATATACTAATATTATGTAAAACCTACCAATGTCAGCAAGGAGTCGATCTTAGCACTGATAACATCTGATTCTAGCTTTTCCAGTAATAACGGAAGGCAAAACTGATGAAAAAACAAATAAAATCATCTCTCGTAAAACTGGTAATTCTTCCATCTATCATTCAATTCACTACAAGTTTTGGNAATGGGAGAGTCGAGAGTTGACAATAACTTACTGGGGCAAAAAGTGATGTTGCTGCAAGACATTTTCTTAATCCTAGTACAAGATCATCTCTTGTAATGCCGTAAGGGTCATCTGAGGACTAAAAGAATGAAAACATTGATTATCTACTTACTCAGGTATTCAGGAATACATACTTGCATCCTTTCTTTCTTTCTATTCATGATTTTTACATAATTGCAAGTGCTAATGTGATGACCAGATGTATTTTAAATTGGGGTTCCTGTGGTGATATTCCACAGGTTCCCCAATTGGTTGGTTTTCAAAATACTAGTTTAAATAGATAAAAGAATTTTGAAATTGTCTACTTACTGGGGTAAAATCAATAGGAAAATAACAAGATGTGACTTCAAAAAGGTCTTCAGCAAATAGGCCTGTAGAAAAATAATTGTAAAACTGAAAGTGTAAAAACATAATTTACTAACATTTTGCATTAGAATTAAAATTAAAATCAAATACTTACTGATTGGAAAATTGAAGATAATTTTCTTTGCAAGCTGAAAAGCTAAAACCAAATTCCGAGGATCCTGTTTCAGAAACAAATGAGGAAAGACTTAGGGCAAGGAGGTTCTTTATGGGAAGGGTGTCTATGAGGAGGGTCTCTATGAGGAGGGTGTCTATGAGGAGGGTCTCTATGAGGAGGGTCTTTATGAGGAGGGTCTCTATGAGGATGGTCTCTATGAGGAGGGTTCTATGAGGAGGGTCTCTATGAGGAGGGTCTCTATGAGGATGGTCTCTATGAGGATGGTCTCTATAAGGAATTGGAATTAGCTATTCCAAGTTTAAGGGAAAAAACTGGGTTGAGCTTACATTGCTGTGTGCTGTGAGAATGGTTTAGAGGACATATTTCAAAGACGGTGTCTACTTTTTCACCTGAAACAGTCCAACAACCCACTTTGATGCCAAATCAACCTAGTTTTAATCCTATAACCTCAGAATGGCTAATGGAACAAAATGAAAAAGGCTGCAGAGGAGCTACAGTGTTCATTTATACCTTTTCTCCATCCATAGCTTGAATAAAACTAAACACAAAGTCAGATCCTAATTGCTGGAGATCTAGAGACGATGGAAAACAAACTATCAGAAGATAATAATAATTAATAATTCAATGAATTTCTATAGCGTTATATATTACACTCTATAATGCTTTATAATGAATTTTCAAACATAAAATATAGAAATATATATATATATATAGCAACCCTCGCACTCTGTCCAAGCCGGCCCATCAGAGCCCCAAACTGTGACTACTGAAGATGAATTTAAATGAGGTTTGCTACCACAAGGACTGAACACTTACCCTTTAAATTTCTATCAAGGCACAACATAAGCATGTTATAAACTGTGTTCCGACCAGACTGCATAAGAGACTACCAAAATAATAATTATTAATTAATTGGAATACCGTTTAAGACACATATCACTGAAACCCATTAAAAATATTTGAAATGGTTTTTCCATTTCCAATCTGGGTGAACCAAATAACAGTGGTACAGAAGTAGTGAGCTCCCCTCCACCTCTGGAGTCTCACAGATTCCTGGATTATGCATCACATGATTAGAGTTTCTGTGGGTCTCAGTCCCCCTTGACCCAACTCCTTTCTAATCTGTGAGTTAGCCATGTGAGTTAGTCAGGGACGTCAGGCTAGTTAGAGTTCAATAAAATTAAAGAAATGTGAGAGAATAAAGTTAAAGCACTGTTCATTCTTGGAACATCACATACTTAACTTTGATAAAATATTTGGTTTTTTACACTTCAACTATTCTCATGAGAAGGAATTATATTATTGCTCACCATCTAGTGCTGGGTCTTACTGACCTGAACATGAACTTCTGTGAAGACTGTCTGAATTGCCTTAACAAACAGTGGTCCAGATAAATTTTGATTCAAGGCCTACAAAAAAATTAATATTAATCTAATAATAATCTAGAAAAATATTCCTGAAATTGTGCAATTTTTTTTTTGACTTGTCTTTAGGACTCTACATAGATTCTTACCAAAGCTTGGAGCCCAAGAAGAGCATAAGGTACAATTGAATAATGATCCTTGAGGCGATCGCGGTAGAAATTGGCTAGTAGTTCAACTATATGAAAGAAAGGAAAAAAAACAAACATTTGAAAGGCAATATTTGGAGATTGGACTGAATGCATGTAACATGGACCAAAGATAATGATGGTTAGGGCCTGTTTGTGAAAAGGGTGTACTGTATAGTCCTATCTGATGGATAAAACCTTATCCAGTGGATAAGTCGATGCAGTTATCCAATAAATTTATTCACTATATAAGATTTATCCGTCAGATAGCAATATCACATTCTTACATGTACTATAAATGCATGGTAAGATATTCAAGATGGGTGATGTTGACAGTGACTTGAACTTTACTTGCTTTAAACCTACTACTTTTTAGGGTCCTCTGTGGTCTCTGAATAAAGGTTTAACATTTTCCTATTTTCCTATACCTTCTTGTGCTGTAAGCTTGAAGTTCACAAGTCGTTGTAAAATCTCGGATAACAGTTGTACAGCTCTGCTTCGAATTTCAACGTCAGTGCTTGTCAAATATGATCTATAAAGATGACATTATATCATATAGATACAGTTTTACATGACATGAAAATGCTGGGTGAGACAGAAAGACAAACTGACAGTCAAACTGGAAGAGAACTTTGTGGCAAATGAATGTCATTGAATTGTGTACATTGGTGATATCATTAAGTTTAAACAATGTTGGTAATACTGCAATAATATTGTCACTGTGCTAAGAGGATTACATGATGATGATGATGATAAAGTGATGATGATACAATGTGGTGATAATGACAGATGATGTGAAAGATGATGGTGGATGATGTTGTTGATGATTATCATGATTTTGACACATGATGATGATTATGATGCATGATGATGATCAATACAGTACATGATGATACATGATGATACATGATGATACATGATGATGATATGATGGTGATATGATGGTGATATATGATGATGATNCAATACAGTACATGATGATACATGATGATACATGATGATACATGATGATACATCATGAAGATACAAAATGATGATACATAATGATACATGATTGTACCCTACGATGATACATGATGACACCACTCATAAAACACAACTGTCACTTACCCTAAATCCTCAACGATTTCCAGCAGATTTTTCCTYCTTTCATACACATCTATAACCAAACAAAACACGTTATATTTAGCTCTCATAGCTTCTTTCTGACTTTCTATTTCTTATATTTACCTTTAACGATGGCTGTTAAGCAAGAATTTGTCTGCTTTTCTTGGTTCTTCATGTACAACTCCACAACACTCTCTTGTTCGGAAGCCATCTTGATTATATAATGACATGCACACGTGGGTCACTACTAACCCAACCTCCACTCTGCACAGTACAGCAACGCCTGTCATAAACGTGCATTAGGAAGACACGTCTACGATGCAGYATTATTTTCATCGATCATATATAAAGTTTGAATGATGATCTATGTATATATACTACGATACGACATTATGAAGTCTCTAAGGTAGGGAATACAATATGAGGTTTTGGTGTCGAGTGCTTTTTGCATCCATACTTGGTTTGTCTTTGACTATTCTTGTCATTTACTGGGAGCTGAAAAGTGCGGATTTACAATGGCAATGGAATGGAGGTCCTTCTGTTGCATCGTCTCGAAAGAAAGAGAGCTTAGATTCTCCTCTAGAGAGAGAGGATAGTACAGGCATACTGCAGAGGGGTAAAGGAAACAACACGGAAGAGAAGATGGGGTATTTTCGTAGGTTGATTAAAGATACTTACATCTATTCGGCTTTCTACGAACAATATGACAACGAAGATAATTCTGCTATTAGACTGATTATTTTAAGCGGAAAATATTACCAACCTAAACTTATGTGCCACTTCTGCGACCCCTCTGACACTAGCTGCGATTGTCCTCCACAGACCGCGGAGTTATATACGAATAATGAGAACCACGGACGCACATTTGGCGGGTATATTGCAACGTGTGGCATCCCAAAGTGTTTTAGAAGAGATTCTCCCTATGTGTTTATAACTGCTGAAGATAAAGGCGAGACGAGTAAAAAACTACGTGTTTCACTTGTAAAGACAATGCACGAATCGACTCYATTTAGCTATGCTATTTGCATACCTCCTCTGATAGGTCAAGGGTTTGATTCTTTGCACCGACTGGTAGAATTTATTGAACTGACTCGCATACTAGGGGCTAAACATTTCACGTTTTATGAGTATGATTTAGACGACCAGCTTCAAAAYGTCTTACGCTATTATCAAGAGCAAGGCGTGGTCAGTGYATTGCCTTGGAATCTCCCARAAGACGTCACAATGACTGGTCAAAACATCTGGTACCACGGTCAAGTGCTGGCTACACAAGACTGTCTGTACAGACACAAGGGTAAAGCGAGATTTGTAGCCTTCAACGACATTGACGAGTATATCGTTCCACTTGCACATTCTACTGTACCTCAGCTCCTAAACAACATACACTCAGARATGTTCTGTGGTCACTGCTTTGACAGCGTTATATTCAGTCTCAATGCGCGTATGCCCAAGGCAAAAAAACGAAGTCAGCTGGTCTCGCAAAGGGTATTTCAAAGGACCAATGATAAGCTTTCCTCGTGGTCGAAGTGTATTGTAGACCCTCTTCAAGTGTTTGAGATGGGAATTCATCATGTTAGCAAGGCTAGGAGAGACCGGTTGACCATGAATAAGGTAGATGAGAAACATGGTTTAGTTTTYCATTACAGAACGTGTTCTTCGGCTTACGGGATTGGGAAGGCTTGTGGTAATCTTGTTACAGACTACACCATGGAGAATGTGGGTGAAAAGTTGCAAAAGCAAGTAGATAAAGTACTGAAACATTTAGATATCAAACCTATAAAGGAGGCTGCCGTATTGTCGTAGAAAGACAGAAAAGAGGGGGTCCCCTAAAATTCAGGTTCTCACCAATCAAAATTTTGTTGAAATTCTTTATCGTTCTGTGCATGTTAGGACGAAAGAAAAGATGTTTGCGACTCAATGGATAAGTCTCTCCATGGGTTACATGACGGAAATACCGTAAATTTGATGTTAAATTTCGACCCAAGACTAGCCTCTCGCTCCAGGAATCTCGCTTCGCCACTGGGCTGTGGGTGAATATATTGCCGCAAGGGTGTCCTCTTAAACTGTAACAGCTACATTACAAAAGCGGAATAAAAACCTGTCTTACTTGTAGATCATGTGGTCTGAAAGCTGAGCTTAAGATGTCGATCATAATGGTGGTAGATAGAAGATACAATGACCGACATGCAACCATCGTTAAAAAACGAGTCATCAAAGCTAGGCTGACAGATACCCATGAACCCCCATGTCCCCAATCCAACACACTTACTATCATCAGTCCGGGCACCACTTTCAAAGCAGGCTAAATATTTGGCTGATATCTCAATACAATTATCCTGATAATCAAATAATCAATACATATGTTTAATATATCTTTATTCTTACTTGCATGTTTTAATTAAGTTCAGATGATAACCACACAGATTTTCTAAAGTTATTCAAATAATATACATAAGCTATTGATATGTTCAGTCAAGCGAAGTCTCCTCAAACTTCTTTAACGTATTTATAATACACTGTACAATGAGACAATATTGTAAAACTATATCGGATTCTTAGGCCCCGTCCACACGTATCACACGTAAATTTTTTTTGCGGATACGGGTTGCGTCCACACGTGTCCGGAAATTTTTGTGTCCGTATCCTCAAATTTTACGAAAACGGATAGGTGTGGACGGTGAAAACGATTCGAATACGCTGCGTGTGGACGCAAACATTTTCGTATCCGCAAAAACTAATTTGCAGATACGAAAATTTCCGGATACGTGTGGACGGGGCCTTAAACTTGAGAACTAATCTTAAGGACCTGTGGTCCATAGTCATTGCATGGAATGAATCTATCCAATCAAAATGCTAGAATTTATGAGCCATTCTTTTACGTCTATTAAATCTTGTCTAAATACTTTGCGATATCATTTACATATAATTTTTAGATAATTCAATAATTAATTTCTTATTTTTTATAGATACTCTACCCTAAATTTCTAAAACATTTTATATATTATATTCCTATCTTTTTTTAACATACCTCTAAATTTTCTCTCAATGCTAGTGCCGTTTTTATACATGCATAATTCGATAAATGCGGATACGGACATAACTATCTTACCGTAGCCTTGCYAACGTGTTGTGATTGGATGAATTACTGGAGACAAACAGGAAGCCATTTCAATGTTACATCATGTCGTACCGTGCGGTACGCGTTGTAATTTGAAGTCAGTTCGTGTGTCTCCCGCATAAAAAAAAAAAAAAAAACGCTAGTAATTTGAATCCTGCGAATCATCTAATTTAAACTGGGAGACTTGCAGTAGCCTATGAATAAACACCCAAATTTTGTTTCATGATGGAATGCATAAAAATGTACAGTTCTCTAGTATGTATACACTTATTTCGATAAAGTTAGTCACCTGAAAAACTATAAAGCTGAGGCCAACCAGGATTATGGGTAGATTCATTTTACACGTTCAACCGCTTGATAACTGTTCATGGACTTGCGAATCTTTTACCGGTTATAGTCTCACCTCTTCTGAGCAWCATCGAGCTGCAGTTTGCATTAAAAAAGCTTTGTATATACATGCTTTTTGATATGAAAAGYTTCCCATGWTGCTCAKTGTTCTCAGCTTTCTAGGTTTTTGKTGACTAACTTTATTGAAATAAGTGTATACCTCTGGTCTTTTTTCAAGAGACATGTTCATAATGAACTAGTGCCCCTTACGTCGTCTTATAGAACCATATTGTTAAATGAATCGAACGTTACGGAATTTGTAAAAATGAAAATTAAGGAATAAACTGAACGTGGGTTTAAGTATGAGCAAATCAAGTATGGAGCTGGTTCTGAATCTTTAGGGAATATACCGTTTTCATAATTGCTGACAAGCGCACGAAAAAACGAGATCACAGTCATTAGTTCACGATAAAAGATATAAAAGCACATGAAACCCGTTTATAGAAGAAAAACATAGAAATTGGCCCTTTTGTTTTGACCTGAATTCGCGCTATCCACCTTTATTTTGAATGAGCTGCCTCGTAAGATGACTGGCTGGCCTAATTTTCGTGCGGTCCTCAGCCATTATGAGAAGGTGTATGTAATTTATTCTTAAATGGCTTTCTCTTTGAGCCAACCAAAACTCGAGAAAATGCGCACCATCCAATCACATCGTTCGGATTGTAAAGCCATTTAAGAGTTATGAAAACTTATATTGACCATTAGTATAAAATGTTCTGTTCTATAGATAAAAGAATTAAAATTTTGAAACTAATCATGGCGTCACTTAGCGTCTTGTTTCCTGATTTCTCTTCTGATGATCTCTAACCAACCGCTTCACCTGCTCACCCAGATCAGCCTCCCAGACTAAAACATGACCAAACTCTCCTTTGGCCTTTTTCTGATTACATCCTGGCCTTTCTACAAAGCCCATTCCTCCAGTCACGATTAAAGAAATAGCTCTTCCAGACGTATTTCCACGTGCGGTAGCCATACAGCGCACACTAGCTGTATRTCTGTGCAGGATGCAAAGCGTCTCACACGTAGTTGGCGAGAGTAGTATAATATGACCCGTTCCAAGGCCTACCCATAATGCATTCTGGCCGTGTAACATCATGCATACCACGCGGATGTCACGTGGATGACCCTCGAATCCACTATCGGTCATGATTCGTTGACAGTTGATGCTTCCTCGCAGGAKGGGTTGTGAGGCATCCCAGTAGTCAATGATGGGTGAGTCTTTGGTAGATGTCCATATGTGGGACCCTACAGCGATGTTACGGACTAATCCTCTACGGCGATCTTCAATTGACCAGCGCCGCTTGAACTCTATGTTGTCGTAAATCTTCAGTACGACAATGTCATTACCACACCCACAGAAAACAGACTTCTGAGCTATAGTAAGACAAGCAATGGAATGGTCTGCGCATTTCTCCGTGCACTGACCACCTTCTTCAGTCTTTTTGCACAACTGAATTACTTGTCTCATCGCTTTCGGGTTCAAAAGATCATTGGTTTTATAGATGACTAGCTTACCATCCGCTAGACCAGCGATGACTATGTCTAGGTGACATCTACTGTTGGAGTAATGCCGTAGTGCGACAACAGAGTCCGGTAAGGGTTGAAGAGTGTTGACGCACTCATGGGTCCATGCGTCGAATACCCAGATGTTACCCGACTGAGTACCCACTAACACGTGGTCACTCCTCACAGCTGTCATACACTTGACTCTCGTGTCTTTGATAACTGTTCCCTGGCATCCCTGGAACAATTACAACAGTTCTTAAGATGAGTACTTGACGGGATGCGCTGGGGTGGTGAAAGGGGTGGTAAAAGGGGTGACTAGTCCTCCTCTCCCCCCTTTTGCTCAAATTTCTCAGTATATCCTTAGTAACAGTCACCCCCCTTTTCCTCGAATTCCTGGTAAAACCTTTGTAATAGTCACCCCCTTCTAAAATTCTTGGATCCGCCCTTGTGCGGGTTTGGTGGTTGTACGTGGCTCTTTTTAGACATTAGAATTCGCAAGTAAACAATTTATATCGAATGTAAACTGTCAAAGAGTAACGCTGTCAAAGAATGTTTTATTTTTCAGTTGAATATACCTCGTTTTGACTGTCAGTTAAGTTGACCCACGATACGATTCCGCTGTTGTTGTAGCTTGATCCACTGCCAATCCACACTTCAATCTTGTCTTGATTATCCTCTTCGTAGTTTCTAACGGTCATGCATTCGACTGTCTGTTCCTTGAAGACGGGAATGTCTCGCTTGAGACAGAGTAGCTCTGCTTTGGAAAGACGCTCGAAGACCTGTCAGCATTAACAAAARAATGAATGGATGATGGGAGTTCGACGAATGGATGATAGGAAATCGATGAATGGATGATAGGAGATCGATGAATGGATGATAGGAGATCGATGAATGGATGATAGGAGATCGATGAA